TTGAAGATTTGACTCCACCATCAGTGAGATCGTGTCGCGGGCTACCACATCCCCTTTTACGGTCCCCACTTCCGACGTCCCGTTCACCCGCAATTCGCGTTTGAAGATTTGACTCCACCATCAGGAAGATCGTGTCGGGGGCTACCACATTTCCTTTGACGGTACCCCCTTCCGACGTCCCGTTCACCCGCAATTCGCGATTGAAGATTTGACTCCACCATCAGTGAGATCGTGTCGCGGGCTACCACATTCCCTTTTACGGTACCCACTTCCGACGTCCCGTTCACCCGCAATTCGCGTTTGAAGATTTGACTCCACCATCAGGAAGATCGTGTCGGGGGCTACCACATTCCCTTTGACGGTACCCCTTCCGACGTCCCGTTCACCCGCAATTCGCGATTGAAGATTTGACTCCACCATCAGTGAGATCGTGTCGGGGGCTACCACATTTCCTTTGACGGTACCCCCTTCCGACGTCCCGTTCACTCGCAATTCGCGTTTGAAGATTTGACTCCACCATCAGTGAGATCGTGTCGCGGGCTACCACATTCTCTTTTACGGTACCCACTTCCGACGTCCCGTTCACTCGCAATTCATTTCTATTGGCGACACGAGAAAGAGAGACAGCGATTCGAGATTCACGAAACGTTAAACCGCGTGAGTTCGCAACGGAAGGTAAAAGGCGCCTGACTACTTCTCGAAGACGCGCGCGCCGCCTCGCAAAAGGTCGTTAATTTTGCCCCTATGACAAAAAACAAAATTCCGCCACGCAGGAGTTGTGCGCGTTTACAACATCTTTCCGACGACACCAATTTCAAAAGAATCGGACCAAAACTGTAGTAGAAGATAGGAAAAAACTGAAAAACCTTCACGTTAGTATACTACGCTCGAGGATGACGCCCAGATGTCGCCAACCCCACATCATGTAGCCATGTCCCTAAGGTTGACAAATTTCACGGCCCTGTAGATACACGTACACCCGTTGCCTTTCTACAAGAGTTCTTCTACGCGCCCACATTTGCTGCCAGCCAGCCAGCCAGCCAGCCAGCCAGCCAGCCAGCCAGCCAGCCAGCCAAAGTGAGATTAAAAGCTACTTTTTACAAAAAAAATTTTTTGCAAAAATGCGCTAAAAATATAAAAACCAACCCCTTAAAAACACCACCCCAATCCGCCAAAACGCCCCCAAAAATATTTTTAACTAAAAATTTAAATTCAGAAGGCTTAAAAACCCTAAAATCCATGTGTTATATGCCCATATTTTTGAAAACTTTAATTTTTGTATTTTTTTGGCCGCCATCTTGAATTTCTCAAAATGCTCAAGGGTGTCAAGGTGGCATTCTCAAAGTAGACATCCTTACGAACAAAAAACCGTCAAAAAACCTTCACCGTACCTCACTTCCAGGTTAAGCTAAAAATCCCAGTTTGGCATCCAGACTATTAGGGAAGCGATTGAAGAATGAAAGGACACGTCACGGAGAACGGCCGCGACCGCGCGGTACGGCAATAGTGCTGTCGCTTGTTTACTTACATGTTTTCTATAATATTAATAATTATGTTTGTGTGCCAATTAATATAGTTTGCGTTGAGCAGTTTGTTGCTGCCCTTTCTTCCAGTAAGACAACACAAAAGTAACTAGTGATTGCTGAGAAAAAAATTAAAGAACTCCAAATTTCACCACTTTTTTGGGGGTGGCTCCCAAACGAAACACGTTTGACCCTCGGTTTATTTGAAAAAAAGTGCTTATCTTGAACCCCTCGGCCCTCTATCACCCAATTTTCACCCTGTATAACCAACTTTAAATGACATCCTTACCTTTCCATGTCTGTATATATTAGAAGTTTTAGTTTTTGTTAAGATGAATTCAGATATTTTCAATCGTCTGAACGTTAATCATCAATACAACACAAGGTATGGTCATAAGCTGCAGTATGAAAGACATAATCTGAAAAAGTATAAACAAGTATAAATTGTGCACAACTCTTGTACAGCATTTTTTTTACCGAAATAGCTTTTGTTTTGACATCACTAATTGATATATTTCTTGCAGACGTCTCAATCGCCCTTTGTGAGTACCACGAACTTATAAATTAAGATGGACTGTTAATGCTGAATTGACAAATGACACCTACATGGGGGCCGCCATGATGTGCACTCACATGGCGCGAAATTCAAATCAACTAATAAACAAGCATTAAAACCCAACATTAACCTCACATTTTCTAAATAAATTACTGTGACACATGTCATTTTCCAAGGCTGCAATAGTCTCAAAACTTGAGCACTAGGAAAATTCCCCTACAAAATAACTAGAATGTGCACATCATGGCGGCGCCCCTGCTAGGGCCATTTCTACCTCTATGCAACTGTTTGATCAGCGGTCCATCTTAATTTATAAGTTTGTGTGAGTACCCTCTTCCGACAATCCGATCTTGAGGTATAAGGGAATATACCTGATCACGATAAGAGGTTGAGGAGGAGGGCTATGATTGGTAGAAATTAATTCCTTTCGTTGAGACTCTTCATTAGAGTATCATGATGAAGGATAAAACCAGTTCCCCCCCCCCCCCCCACTGATCTCGAAAATGAGGCGCCCGGAAAAGCTATAGTTTGTACAAATCAGTTTCTTTTGATGAGACCTAAGCGTTCACTTAGCCCCAGGCTTAGCCCCCATTTGATTTTTTCGATTATCTCCAAAACCAAAAAAGCACAAACGGTGCGCATAAATGCACAATTGAGGCAGAATACATAAAAAAAATTGGTTCATTTTTGGGCTAATGGGGGGCTAAGTGAACGGACCCTATGATAAATGTATGTTCTCTTGATTTATTTTTTGACGGTAAAAAACATTCCATTGAATGCGATTGACGACTGCGTCT